GCTTCTAAAGCTTTTGATCGTGTGAATCATAGGAAGTTATTCCAGAAACTGTGTGACACTCGAGTGCCTAAATATATTGTAAGATGCTTGTCATATTGGTATGCCCACCAGACTATGTGTGTCAGATGGGATAATTGTATATCTGCACCCTTTCAGACCTGTAACTGGGTAAGGCAGGGTAGCCTGTTGTCCCCGATTTTGTTTAATTTTTATATGAATGGTCTCTCTGAGGAGCTAAATATGTGTAGAATGGGATGTATGGTTGGTGGTACAATAGTGAAACACGTAATGTATGTAGATGATCTGGTGATCTTTAGTCCCAGCTCGGCAGGTCTCCAGCAGCTCTTGAATGTATGTTCTCTGTTTGGGGGCTTCACGATGTCAAGTACAATTCTGATAAAAGTGTTATTATGATATGCCGCACAAAAGAGGACAGGTCCCTTGCATTCCCTTTTTTTAAAGTTATCTGGTAACATTTTAACTGTGTGTAATGAAGTTAAGTACTTGGGTCATGTTATAAATGATTGCTTGTCTGATGAAGGGGATATGTATCGGCAGTGCCACGTTATATGCACAAGCAAATGTGTTGGTTCGGAAATTTGGCTCGTGTTCGGATGGAGTAAAATTGACTCTGTTGAAAGTGTATTGTACCTCTTTGTACACTGCACATCTATGGTCTAACTACAAAAAAGGCAGTCTTAGGAAACTGACAGTGGCCTATAATGATGCCTTGAGGTTATTATTGAAAAGGCCTAGATGGATGAGTACCAGTGAATTGCTTGTGGCATCTCGGATCAGTACATTATCTGCTGTTTTAAGAAATTTGATGTACAAATTTATTTGTTGTTTGAATAGTTCTGGAAACAACATAGTTTTAGTGCTGACTAATATTGCATATAGTGATATGCAATATACTTCAGTACTTTGGAAACATTGGTATACCTGCCTTTTAAAAAGGTAGTTGTTTATTGGTGGTTGTTTTTTTATTGTTATTTATTGCGGACTGTTTTATGGTTTTGATTTTTTTTTTAGCATTTATACATTTGGACCTTGAGTCTGTAATAAAGTATCTATCTATCTAAAGATCTACGACTTGTTCTATGTACACAAAAGGCCAATTTCTCTCAAATATTGTTCACAAATCTGTCTAAATCTGTGTTAGTGAGCACTTCTCCTTTGCCGAGATAATCCATCCACCTCACAGGTCTGGCATATCAAGATGCTGATTAGACAGCATGATTATTGAAAAACACACAGTGAGAGTGAGGTGAGACTGACATGACGCTGTTGTCGGCCTGAAAAAATTAATATTATTCTGTATACATTTACACTATCCTGATAATATCGAGACAACAGCTGAAAGTGAGGAGCAAGTTTTGGTGTGATTAGCATCAACTGTAATCTCAGTGTGAGCAAAGAAGTAAACAGGGAAACATTTTACTGAAAAGGAATAAAATGTATGTATTAATAACATGGGAAAGAACCAGGCTGACTGCAGTACTGTTTGGCTGTTACATGCCAGTTATTCACATAGAAGCATATAAAAAGTAAGTGCTGATAAAATGAGAGTATGACCTGAAACAATGCAGCCAATGCACTATAAAAGGCAGGGGGGATGTCACGGTCCTCATCAGATAGATAAATGAATTCTTCTGCCTCTGCAGCAGTCATACATTTCAGATCAAGATAGCTCTCAGTTTGAAGTTTGACAGCACTTATTTCTAAAGTGTAAAGTCACCTTGGCTGCGACACAGAGTTGTGTGCTCTGGACTGAAGCCATGAGCGATGTGTCCATCCAGATGTATGGGCCACGAGAGCTGATGGCTGGGAGAGGGAGCTGCCACAGCACTCCATCCAGAAAAACAGATCATCTGGCTCATCCGCTGTGGGCAGCCTGGACTCAGGGGACTGGAGAAACAGGCATCCAGCCAAAGAAGCCATGTCACACTTATGTGCTGTTGCTCTTCTACTGATAACCTGATCGTTTTAGCCCCAAAACTCTGCAAAACCGATCCTGCAATGCACTGCATCTTTTGGTTTATGAATTAAAACTGAACCAGGAGCATCTAGACAACAATCAATAAATAAATGTTCAACTGGATCTCTTTCATAAAGCACACATATGGAAAGTAGCTTCATTATTCAAAACAATCTTCCTACCAGGACAAAGCTGTTTCTGCCTCAGTGGGTTGAGGGATTTATCTTACATGCAAAGAGAATATGTCTGACATAAGCAAAACTGGTCAAACGATGTAGATGAGCCCTTGAAAAGCTTCAAGAACACATCTCTAAAAATATGCTTTAATAATGGGATTCTATCAGGGTGAAGAGAAGTCGGTGGGCCAGGGACTGGGGCTGGATGCTGCAGCAAGAAATTAAAGCTACAGTTGTGTGCATGCCTGCTGGCCTGCCGGGATGTAGACAGTGATTGACAGCTGGCGAGACGACAAGCACAGCAGACCACAGGGAGAAGGTGTCTATAGTAAACATCTCTCTGCTCACACAGAGAGATGGGGAAAAAGCACTTGAAAAGCATGGTTGAAAGCAAATACTGTCAGGTTAGAACCTGAAACATTCTGAAGTGTTTCAAAGGTGGATAAACCAGTGGGAGAAACCAGACGCTTTGTGGTTGCAAGTAGGAATCTATAACAAGAGAATCCTTCTTGTAAAAATGTATGTATGTACAGTATCCATTCCAACAGCACTGCCTAAAGAGGATTTGCTGCCAGAGCTAGTGATGCTCTGTATAGTATCTGTTGTGAAGAAACAAGTGCTGCTCTGCATTCTCTGAGGTCAGTCAAAATCTTGTGTCATGCTTCTTCTAAAGGGAAAATTGACTGTATGCTTTTAAACTTGACCTCAAACAAAAAATGACATGACAGGCGTAACCCACTCCTTCCAGCGCTGTTTGCATCTCATTATTTCAGTTCCCTGTCAAGGCGTTCCACTACCCTGTCATCTTTACTGCTAATGTGTGCATCTGTGGGTTCGCCTTTATTCTGTCACTTTGCTTGAGCGAAGCGGTGTGAATAAACAGTGACACTTCAGAGGGAACCGGAAACCCTTGTGGATCTCTGCAGGAAGAGCACACAGAGTCCCCTGGAGAGAAGCTCAGTCCATCCAAGGGTCATTACATCGATGTGATCAGAATACATAATGCGTATGCTGCCAAGATGAAAGTCCTCAGGAGACGTCTGCGCCTTGTATTCGCTGTGCATGTCCATCAGTGCACCGTGCTCCATTCATCACTGCTTTCATCATCGTTTAAACAAGCTTCCTGGGTCGTGACTCTCTCCCAGTGCGCCACATTGTTGACACCGAGTGGAGTACATAACTACATATTGACTCTGCAGAGTAGCGAGGACAAAAAAGAGATTAGGGGATTGGAGGTTTGCCTTTGCTTCCTACGAGTCGGTTGGCTAAATGAAGGATACTGCAGAGCCCCCCAGGGTGATGTGGGATGCTAAAGCTCACACTACCACCTGTGAGGGGCTTCTGGAAATGAACACCCATACTGTGACACCTAGAGGACTCCATTGTGAGCGGGAGATAGGCTGCAGCTCTCGCTGGGCCCATCTGTCACAGCCTGCCAATAACCACACAGAGACGAGGGGATGGCCATGGCGACGGTCACACATCTACCCTCTGTATGTCTGCCTGCACTACTGCCCAAGTAGCTTTATTGTATTTGTTTATTTAAAGGCCAAATGCCTTAAAACTGATTTGTCAGTAAAGATTTATGTTGTGGCTGAGAACCAGTGAACCTGGGATTGAGTTCCACTGAGAGAATAGGTCTAAGTCTAAAGTCAGTTTATAACAAGTCAAAAATAGTTACTATTGCCCGTCACAAATAACCAGAATTCAAAGTGATGCCTTTTCTTATTTTGTCAGACAAAGGAATGACACAGAGGGGTACATCATACTGTGACAGTTTCAAACAGTATCATGCGTTTGAGAGAAAACCTTGGGTTAAAAACAGTTTTGAGATAAAACACTAACAACTTCCAAGCAAATCTTAATTCACTTAAAGTTTTCTATTGATTTCAGCTTCCCCATTTTTGGTGGTGCTCCCACACTCTCTGCTGTCAGACCCGTATTTTACTTTTTCAAGTGTCAGTTAGCAGCTGTGAATCAAAAAAAATATTTGCCAACATTATTCTTTTCAGAGTCATAGGTGGCCAGGATATGGCATTGGTTGCCTGTGGGATTGATAATAATGTTATTTACATACATATGTACATATGTTATTTAAGCTAATTCCAGTATCTGTGGTCTTTATTTCAGTCATTTTGAATCTGTCCACCTAAGATCATTCACATTTGAAGCTACAACCACAAGTGCAATTAATATTTATTTTCATTGTGACTAAAATGATCAGTGGTTTATAAAAATGGTCAATAATTAAATTGCTGTTGGTAGGCTAATACAATAAACACCTAATCGTATAGGAAGTAAAGGGCTTTATGAACAGCTTTAAGTAAAATGCACGAACAAGAAACAAGCATCACCAGCTTGTACAGACAGGCCTGCTGTCCTTTTACAGCTGGAAAACGCCAAATAAATCCTCTGATTTATTTTCAAAGCTTGAAAATCTATGAATTTCATACTTGGAAGACAGAATGACTGAAATAAGCATGATAAGAAAACACAGGCTCATTAAACCGAGCGCAGCACAGACAATAAAAAAAAAGTCGAAAAGAAAAAAGAAGCATCAGTGTGCTTGAATGTAATTCCTCGGAAGTTAAGCCACTAATGATAAAGCAGATTGAACTTTATAATCTGCTTCAGTAGTACTTCTGTGACAGCTAAATGTTAAGACGTGAGTGCCTGCTGACTAAATGCTGCAGCTGCAGTAGCAATAGCAGAGAAAGGTAAATAATTAGAGAGACAGATCAGTGAGGACGGAGGATGGAGGGTCAGGGGAGACGGATGATAGGACAGAGGGCCACTGGCACACATATAGATGCATGAAATGATATTTGGGTAGACTCTGGCCTCACCTTGCTTCCCCCTGATTGATCACCATGTACATCTCCCAGGACATATTTTCAGCCACTGCTCCATGAGGCACCAGCAGGCTGACTCCTGCAAAACACAAACAAATGTGTCAACAGTGACAGCTCCAGCAGCCTGACAGTGTAGGGCAAACTAAAGGCTTACAGTATGTCATACATGCAGTGGTTATAGGAACATTTATAAGCACTTCATTTTACTTGATTGAACTGTATCCAAGAATAATGTGAAGCAAACTTAGGTGTGTAAAAAAAATCGGCTGTGATATTTACTAGAAACATAATGAATCTGAGCAAAAATAGAATGAAAAAACATTTATTTTGGCACATGCAAAGACTGAGCATGTATCATGAATACATTAGAGGGAAATGGAAGATCTGCTAGCTGTTAGCTTGCTGTAGCTGTAAGTTCAACTAAAATATTTACACAGGGTCATGCACACACACATGCGTTGCTATGGTTTTCTGAATTTTGATTTGTTTAGTGCATTGCTCTCAATGGATTTCAAAATAAAGAACGCATAAATAAAATCAGTACTGTTACAAAAAATTATTCATATGACTGTTGTCTAAGCACATATGCAAAAACTACTTTGTTAAGGTTTGGAAATGTTTGTTATCATGGTTAAAAGAAAATAACACTGACTGTGGGTAGAACACAGGATGTGAACAGAAACCTTCCATAATAAAGTCACAAGCTCTGTTGATCCAGCCTCGCTTACTCCAACAGTGACTGTATATTTTGCCCCACATCCATTGCACTGAAATTGCTAAGGGACAAGAATTTCTCAGTGTATAAAATATATTTATTCTGTACACACTGTATGGCTACGTTAGTATCGTATTAATGTGTCCATTAGATGAAAAAATGTCAGCCCATCCTTTAACTGCAGTTTAAAGTTGACTATGGGTTTAGAGGTGTTGTCTGGAACTAAACTGATGAATTCTGTAACTACAGTACATTGTTGTGTGTTCAAAACCTGCGGTTTAAACTGCACCTGTGACTGAGGCTAAACCCAGCGTTGCAGAAATTGCCTGCACGCTGCTAGAATTCAGTATTCACCTCAGTTTTTGTATCTTAAACTTTTCACCTTTTACCATACACAGTATGGCATGATCGTAAAGGAAACACTAAGTAATACACATATAATTGTTCATCAATTGTTTAAGCACATCTTCTGAAACACTCTTGAACTTTCATTTGTCCCATTTGCCCTGCAAAAAGCCATCACTCACGCAAAACCCTGAACTCATCTGTCATGTTGTCTCTGTCCTCTCTTTGTCTTCCTCCAGATCCACCTTTCCCTAAAACTGAGCACATCACACACAGTATACACTCATATCTGTATCTCTATGATTTCTATCTGCCCCATTTACACAATGAATGTACATCTTTAAAAAGCAGTGTAATTTATTGTGACCACCACTGAGCCTAAAACCTTGCACCACTAAATCATTTGATCATATTTGTACTTACTTTATATATTTGAATTCTGTGTTAAAGCAACAGGAAAAGCAATAACTTTATTAGCAGTATTTTACTGCCGGTGAACTGTAAAATCACGAAACTGAAACAGCTCCATAAATAATTTTTTCAGAGTGCTATCTTGTGGCATTCTTTTCAATCACCAGTGTCAGGAGGAGCTTACAGGGAACATCATAAATCATCATACATACAGTTTGCCTACAGTCTAGAGGTAGTTCAGCATAACATGTGCTGATTTTTGGCACAGCGGTCAGGTTGCAGCTGTGTTAAACCCCAACAGGTTCAGGGCTGGGTGAACCCCATCTAAATCACAGGTAAGCAAGTCATAAGTCACACAGCAGCAGGTTCTTGTCACATAAAGGTAAAAACAGGTTTAGGCGTTCAACAGAAGAATAATAAGGATAAGTCTTTTTCTGGTGAGGACAGTGTCCCTTTGACCTACAACTGCCTAATCTATTTTATTACACACTGAGGGAGGACAAAGTGCTGAGAAAAGAGCAGGTGATTCTAGAAACCACCTCCCACCTCCTGTACAGTGTGTTAGCTGACCACAGGAGCTCCTTCGGCAACTGACTGATTCACCCAAAGGAGCATTACAGGAGCTCCTTCCTGCTGGGTGCAATCAGACTCTATAGTACATTTTTATAGAAGTAATTTCCTAAATTCATTCCATGAACTGCACTGGGACTGAGAGGACTGCTGTTTATTTATTTTATCTATTTAAATTGTTTTGTTTTGATATAGATGTAATGGCTATAACAACAAATTTGCCTACAGGGATTAATAAAGTCATCTCTCTCTCTCTTCTACTCTTTCCTGCTCATCTAACTCAGAGCTGCAATCTAAACTCACTTTAAAATTTAACCTAAAAACATGGCAGTCTTCATTTCCTCTTACTTAAACTGCTAGCTTTGTTTGTTAGTCAGTCAGTTGACGCGGTAAAAGTAAACCACCAGTAAACTGACAGTAGTATGGATGATGTGGGTCAAAATGACATCTTGTATTATAATAAATGTGCAATATATAAAGAAATAAAATTAAGGGTGAACATTTTTTTCTATTCTACCACAAATGGTTTCAGAGTCAAATGACAAAATGTATCACTACAGTATTTGGTTTGCTGAAATTTAACACCCTCTTGGTGCATACTACACATACTTCAATACATTTATAAAGAATGAATGAATTTGGTCAAATAATTCATTCCTGAATGACTCAGTGTAGTGGTGGTTTCTCAGCCTGACCTTTATGACACAAAGCTGATTCTGTCTTTGTCTCAAGTTGCATCTATATCACACTTTACACTCAGGAGTAGAGGAACATTTACAGTGCCTTGCGAAAGTATTCGGCCCCCTTGAACTTTGCGACCTTTTGCCACATTTCAGGCTTCAAACATAAAGATATAAAACTGTAATTTTTTGCGAAGAATCAACAACAAGTGGGACACAATCATGAAGTGGAACGAAATTTATTGGATATGTCAAACTTTTTTAACAAATAAAAAACTGAAAAATTGGGCGTGCAAAATTATTCAAATCCACATAAGGGATGACGGCAACATTCATAGATCCTGGAATGCACAATGAGGGGCAATGTTCATTCCTATTACAGAGGCCCACTGAAATTTTTTTGAGGAAAAGCTGTGTTAGACTGCATATTGTTTATAGTAAAGTATTTTTATATACAAATATAAAAATGAAAATGTTTCTGGAGTGGGACTTTAATTAATTATAGAAGTTGTGCAGGGGGGGGGGGGGGGGGTCTCTTTCTCATGCAGAAAGCTATTTACAGGGAAATGCGATGGATTAGCTGAAGCTCATCAATAGGGAGCGCCTGCTCACCCGGTGCTTTACAGACTGGCCACCAATCGAAGGGAATTTCAATATTTACCTACATCCTCGTTTTGTTAGTTGCAGTTAAGCAAACACGCAATTCGCTAATTCATGTTAGTGGATGAGTGAGACTTGTTTAAGTATTTTCCTTCCACGCTAATGATGATTCATTTGAATGACTTTAGGTGTGAATTTTGACTCACGGGCCATTGAATACAGATAAACAACAGGGTGGTTCGTTTTAACATCTATCCATGAGCCAATTTAACGATCATATTACAATTACATTAACTGGGCAGATAGTTTTGTTCTGACCTATTGTACATATGTTATTTGTCTGTCACACACACACACTCCTGCAAACAGAAGTATATAAAATGTATTCACACACTGTTGGAGTGAGATGAAATACACAAGGATTAAAGGCACCCAACACCACAAAGTCACATCACAAAATGCCAAAACAGTCAAAAGTGCATTCATCAGTCTACATGAATTAAATCGATCGTTTCATGTATTTGTTTTATACAGTGTGGCTCCGATGGCATTAGTACCCCTGCAGAGGCAGATCATGAGGAATTGTTTAGTGTTAGGCTGTACCGGAGATCTTTGAGTTCTGAAAATCATTTTCGAGCTGAGGTTAACAATTGTTTAGGTCCTTTTGATGAAGGAAAGCAAAGCAACAAATTACTGAAAAAGTCTAGTTTGTGTTGGCCGCTACAAAGTATTAACTTAAGGGGGCTGAATAATTTTGCACGCCCAATTTTTCAGTTTTTTATTTGTTAAAAACGTTTGAAATATCCAATAAATTTCGTTCCACTTCATGATTGTGTCCCACTTGTTGTTGATTCTTCACAAAAAATTACAGTTTTATATCTTTATGTTTGAAGCCTGAAATGTGGCAAAAGGTCGCAAAGTTCAAGGGGGCCGAATACTTTCGCAAGGCACTGTATTCAATATGTCTAAAAACTAACCAGCCTTATCAAGTCAAATACGGACAACCAAAAGGTTTTAAATCTCAATTTTTTCAAAAAATTATGGGGGCAAAATATGACATCTCTGGTCAACCTGGCTAAAATGTTAAGTAATGGCAAACCCTGTCCATTTTATGCAGTTTTGTTTTCAGCCAAAGCCCAAGAACCTCTGAGAAAGAGACATGTTTGATGAACTAAACTACAATATTTAAGAACCAGCTGCAAGAGATTCTCTTATTTTCTTGTATATATATTGTGTATATCTGCCTTTATCTTTGATGCCTGGCTGGATCCTCTTGGACATGGATGGTACCAGTCCGGTACAAATCTGTGCAGAGATGTTCTGCTCTTCTCACGTGACTATTTTCAGGTGCTCTTTGCTGTGCTTCGCCTTTTGCTTCAAATGACTCCACAGGGGTTCTGTTGGATTCAGGTCGGGGGACGTACTTGGCCAGGTCAGCGTTTTCACTTTTCCCTCCTAAAGAGACTCCTGTCATGTTGGAAAATGTCCTTCCTGCCAGGCCTCTTGAGACTGGGAGCCATCATGTCCTCCTGCACTCAGGCAGCCCTACATCAGCGCACTCCTACCCCTATGTTTCATGGCACTATACAGTCACTATGGTAGTCCTGGCAGGTCCATGCCAAACATGCTGGACCCCATCTGATCCAGACTCATTGGTTTCGGCCTCATCTGACCCCATGAACATATCAGTATTCATAAGACTTATCTTCATGTTCACTGACAAAGTTTAATCTTGCAGTTTTGTGCCTTACTCTGAGC